GGCCAATCTTAAAACGACATGTACTGTATGATTCCATGTACATATTATTCTCAAAATGACAAAATTAGAGACATGGAAAAGAAATCAGTAGTCATAAGGGATTATGGACAAAGAATATAACACTGTGGTATTAGGGAATTCCTTGAAGGTTACAGAATAGTTTTCTCTCTTCAGCTGGTTATGCAAATACACATATATTTTACATACACACAAACACCCACACATACACATCAATATTCATACAAAATATATTATAACCATAATACATAAGAGCTCTGAAACTCACTAATAGGAGAACAAATAATCCAATTCAATGTGGGAAAATATTTGAATAGCAATTGCTTGACATAGATAGGACATACGTTGTACAGGTGACTCATAAACACCTAAAATTAACTAAAATAATAGGTAATTAGTACTGAATGCATATTAAGTATGCCAATTGTATCTTGGATAAAAGAAATAAAATAACTGAGAACATAAACAACTCTCAGGAAAAGAGAGAAACTGAAACTCTCCTCAATGACTCATCAGAATGAAAAATGATAAAGACATTTTGGGAAATGTTTTCATTGCTCATAAATATCTGCACACAGGAAAACTGTGTAATCCCATTCCGAAAATAACTCCTGCGTAAAACATGAATTTCTCTTCACATAAAATGCTTCATGCCAATGTTTACTGTGGCCCAATTAATAATAGCCCCAAACTGGCAAGAACTCAAATGTTATTCAAATGGTAAACCAACATACAAATGGTGCATCCATCCGAGAGAGTACTATTCAACAAGAAAATGGAACATGTTATTGATGATTGTAAGAACTTGAAAGTTTTTCAACTTAACATAAAGAACCAGATTAGAAAAACTACTTCCAGTATGAGTTAAATAGCACATGGAAAAATGCTGAACATCACTAATAATTAGAGAAAGAGAAATGAAAATCACTGGGAGATATCACCTCACAGCTGTCAGAATGGCTATCATCAAGCCAAAAATCTGAAAATAACATATGGTGGCAAGGATATGGACTCAAGGAAACCCTTGTACATAACTGGTGGGAATGTAAATTTGTGCACTCACCGTGGAAAAAAATGTGGAAGTTTCTTAAAAACACTAAAAATAGATCTCCCATGTGGCCCAGCTATTCCACACCTAGCTCAATATCAGAAGAAAATGAACACTAATTTGAAGAGATACATGTACCCCAAAGTTTATTACATCCTTCCTTACAATAGAAGAGATATGGAAGCAAACAGTGAGCAAGATGCACATGGTTCCTGTCTTCATAGCCCTTGCATGGAGTATGGGATAAGCAAGCATTTGAACACCACAGTAATCCTCAGAAATACTGGTGGTTACATGTTTGTTGAGGTGGAAACATTCTCCCTGTATATGGTATAGAAAAGGAAGGTTACGATATAGCATGAAGGTTGATTCAATTTGTATAAATTAAAAATAAAAAACACTGATGTACATAGGCTCATCTAAATATCTGTGTATTATATGTATATATTTCTCAGTATATAACACATATCATATATATGTTATAAAGGTTTAGGTAGAACAACAAAGGCAGAATATGAACAGTATATATGTCTATTGACACACTTATGGGTGTCCTCTAATTTCATTTTTGTACTCCGTTTTGCAATTTCCATACTGGTTTGCCTCGAGTGTATATTTACAATTAGAAAATATTAATAATGCTCTTTCAAAGCAGGGTAAGCCAGACATTAACTTAACATATGCCCAAGTGTCCCTTCAATTTCCTCCCTCTTCCTCCAAAGCCATGTTTCTTCACAATTTCCCCATCATACCTTAGATTCCAGTCATATGCAAGGCATGTATAGCCAGGTCTCTTGGGTCTCGGTGCCTTGGCACGTTCTCCCTCACTGTCTGGGAAACATTTTCACAGCTTTCCACTTGATCTATCTACTTTAGCTGGCTCAGAATTCATCTCGGGTGTCTTTACTGAAAAGTACTCCTCTCCCACCTCCTTGCCATCAGACTAGGACAAATTCCTCTCCCTTTTACCACCACAGCCCAGTGTGGTTTGTTTCCGGTGAATCAATTCATCATGTAAAAGGAAAGAGAAGTTTACCATTACATTCCTCCTTTTCCTGCCCTGTTCTCTCTCATCAGCAGCTCATCACTTTTTAGTCTCATCCTCACTCAACTGGTCCCATTTGCACCAGCCTCCTTGTTTTCTTGGAAGGACATAAATAATGCCTTTTGGGAGCTTTTGCCCTGGCCTGTTCCACTCCCCAGTCTTTATTGCCCAAGATAGCCACAAAGTTACTCCCTCTTTTCTTTAATTAAGTCTTTGCTTAAATGTCCTGCATTCATAAGGGCTTCCATCATTGTAATCTGGGAAGGAAAGACTCCCCATTTCTCATAACTCATAAGGTTCTCACTATACTGTATAATTGACTATTTGTGGTTAGGATGAACCTTCCATCCTCACTGACCAGAATGTAAGCCCCATGAAACCAGGGTCCTGGGGATTGGCTCCTGATGTGGGCCTTGCACTCACAACGATGCCTGAAATAACACAGGGAGTGAATTAGTACCTGTGAAGTGGGAAATAAGCATAACACCAAAGAATTTATGTCCATTTTTGCAATTAAATAAAACAAATCCAGACTAATGTAAGAAGGAGCTTGATTTGAAATGACTATGGGGATAGGGTCATCTCACACACTACCTAAAATACGCTGAGCATTCTTCAAGCTAGGCTTCAACAATACATGAACCAAGAATTTCCAGATGTTCCAGCTTGACTAAGAAAAGGCAGAGGGACAAGAGATCAAATGGACAGCATCTGTTGGATCATAGAAAAAGCAAGACAATTCCAGAAAAGCATCTGCTTCACTGACTAGGCTCAAGCATTGTCTTGTGTGGATCAGAAAAATTGTGGGAAACCCTTCAAGAGGTGGAAATACCAGGCCCTCTTACCTGCCTCCTGAGAACTCTGAATGCAGGGAAAGCAGCATGAGTTAGAACCGGACATGAAACATCTGACTGGTTCCAAATTGGGAAAGGGGTATGTTAAGGCTGTATGTTCTCATCCTGCTTATTTAACTTCTATTCAGAGTACAACATGAGAAATGCAAGACTGGATGAAGCACAAGCTGGAAGATTCCCTGAAGAAGTATCAATCACCTCAGATATGCAGGCGATACCACCCTGAAGGCAGACAGCAAAGAGGAACAAAAGAGTGCTACAGCATGTAGTCCCCAGGATATTCCCTGGACCCTCCAGCTCACCCACTGGCCCAAGTCGGCATGAGCTCCAGGGCCTCCGGAAGAAGGCCTGACTCAGCCTCTTGCCTCAGTCTCCCCCTGAGTGCCACCACACCACCCTTGACTTAATTGCTTCCCCAAAGGTCCCTCACTGACAGTAACCTGTGGGCATTGCCCACGGCAGTGCTGCCGAATAGCTAAGCAGGACAGCTAACAGTCACTCATTTACAATTGTTTGCTTGTGGATGGGGCCCTCTGAGGCACCAAGCAATGGTTGAGCAACACCAGTTGCCTAGGAACAGGGTGGGTTGAAATGGAGCACACCAAAGTTTACCTCTTCAGGGCTGTGCTCATCCTGCTCTGTTACACTGTAAATCGAAAAAGGATCACTGTGAAGTTAAGGTTTCTCAAAGTAGTTTTCAATGTGGGCTGGCCTGCACATTCTTGTTGGTTTTGAACAATGTATACTATATGCGGAACATGTGATCAAGTCGCAGCTGCTGGAGGGGCATAGAGATAAGCACTGGTGACAGGAATGCCTGGGAAGAGAACGGAAAGAATGATGGGCAAAAGTTAAATAAGCATGTGAAATAAAAATATGAGGTTGGAAAGGAGTCAGTCAAAAAGATGCCAGCACACTGGACCCAAAGTGTTCTTATGTAACAGAGCAACATGGGAAGAGCCCTGCCCAGGTAGCCATTGCTGTGCCTTATTACTCCGCTTCCTGTTACTAGGCAACAGGACTTGCTCAGCCATTGGTCAGTGCCTCACTGGCCCCACCCAGAATCAACCAACTATCAATGAGCTACCTACAGGTACTTGCCCTGTCCAGCTATTGGTCAGCACTGCAATGGGCCCTACCTACTGAGAACGGTCAAGGAGGGGTGACTGGGGAATTGATTCGGTCAAGAGTCAGTGATGCAGTGGTGAACTGATCCTTGACTTTGAGCACCTTCCTTTTGTAAAAAGCAAAAGTCAGGAATTTTTTTCTGCTAGATGGGGCAAGTTGAGTTTCCCTACTCAATATGAGAGTTGAAGTGTCCCCAAAACATTTAGTGGAGGAGACATTTAAAACTGTCTTTGCTCTGATGTGTACTCTTATGGAGACTGTATATTGACCTTTGGGCAACATACTGAGGATTCACCAAGTCTGGGGTCGCTGAAGCTCACCACAGTAGATAAAACATCCAACCTGCTCTTCATTACCTTTCTCCACTTTAAGTGCTTTCTCTTAAGTTCCTTAAGCCCCTCAGGAATCCCCAAGAGGCAGATGGTGATCTAGAGATGAAGTGCTTAGAGGACTCTGAAGGGATGAAGTGGGACAGAAAAGGTTTGGCAGATGTTCCTAGAGGGATGAAAGAGGCATGAGGGTTGAAGTGGCACATATAAGTCAAAGGATAAAGGGAACGCAAAGGAAGTTTGAAGGTCATGAGGAGAAGCACCAGGGCCCTGAATCACCACTCCCCAGAAGCAGGCACACAGACATGTCAGCAGTGGGAAAGTTATATCACGGTCTCCCTCAGCATCCACTAGCCCATGTTGATGGTCACAGTGGTGCATTGTGATGTCTAAGCCCCACAAGCTACTATTGGCTGGGGCAGTGCCTAACAGAACAATCAGATTGAAGGGTGTGGCTCTTCATTGTCCTCAAAGTGTATAAATAGGGAGGTCAGAGGCTGAAAGTCTGGGTTAGGCCACTTCTTGGCACCATCATGACTAAGGCAACCAGGAAGCCACGGCCGTCAAGAAGAGTTGCAATGCGGTTTGCTTCAAGGAAGAATGGAATGAAGAAGACCCTTTGTCAAAGGAGGGGCAGACGTGGTGTGGAGGTAAGAGGACTCCAACTAAGCTTCCCATGTTCTGCATTGACTTTGCTGTCCAAGACCTCTACCCTGCCCATGCCTGGCACAAATGTCCCCAATCCCTCACATTTCTTTCTCATGAAATCTCCCTTCCACCTCAGTTTTTATGTCCTTTCCTCCAAAATGATACCCTTGTCTTGTCTTCCAGGCACGAAATATGACCATGAGGGTCAGAAGACCTCTACAAGGGACCTTCAGAAAGAAAATCCGAGAGTATGCCAGTCAATCGACGAAGCCAAAGAAAACAAGAAAAGCAAACCGTTTCTTCTCTGGCTGTGGACGTAAGAAATCAAATCAAAGCCGAAAAAGGTACCAAAATATGAGGCAACGTCATGGAAGGAGGCAGAATCCAAAGAGAAAATAAGCTCAGCCGCCCCACATAAGAGACCCTGGAGAAGTACAACGTTGGCAGCCAGTTAATGAATAGCAAAGGTCAGAGAGTTTAGAACTGTGTCTCCAGGGGTCTGCTTTGTTAGCAATGGCCAAACAAAAAAGACTCTCACACTAACATAGTACGCTGATGGCTGGAAATAAAAGAAATCTCAAATGGTGAAAAGATGATATATGTGTGTGTGTGAATACTCTGATGGAAGGGAGGGAAAGAAGAGAAGAGGTGGGCACTGGAAACGGGAGGGATATGTGGTCCGGAGAAGTTGGGGAACAGACACTCGGGTCCCCCGTTAGCCAGAGAGTAGAGGTGTGGAGTGGGTTAGGAGTCTGCACTGATGATGGATAAAAAAAGTCTTTTGTGAGTCCAACTTCTAGAAGTTTATCATGGTTTAAAAGAAAGAGAATGCAATATCAAATTTGGTGTTAACTTTCAGGTTGAAATATTTTAAAAAATTTCAAGGAGAATTTAAACAAATATGGAGATATATAAGGCAGAGTTTCTGATGATGAGAATCCTGTGTGTCTTCAAAAAACTATTTAGAAGCAAGCAGAACACAGAGTTTCACTATCAGCATCCAAAGAGTTGTGTTCAAATTGGAACTCAATGATATGTCATCTTTGATCTGGACTGCAGCTGCCTGATTCACATTTTCTGGCACTCTAATGCCTGGGTGACCCCACTGATGATTCAAAGTCAGTCACTGAATGTGATTTAAAATGTATGAGTGAAAGACCCCTGGGTGTGCTGCCTGTTTTTCTTTTTTGTAAGTTCTTTCATTGTAATTGATTTATTTCATTTGGAGGCTAAATACTTTACAATATCATAGTGGTTTCGCCATATATTGTCATGAACTAGCCATGGATGTACATGTGTTCCCCATCCTGAACCCCCTTCCCGCCTCCCTCCCCATCCCATCCCTCAGGATCGTCCCACCGCAAAAGCCCAGAGCACCCTGCCTCATGCATCCAAGCTCTAGTTGGAAATCTGTTTCACATACATGTTTCAATGCTATTTGCTCAAATCATCCCACTCTCACCTTTTCTCACAGAGTCCAAGAGTCTCTTTTTACCTTTGTGTCTCTCTTGCTGTCCCACATATATGGTCATTGTTCCCATTTTTTCTAAATTCCATTTATATGCATTAATATCCTGGATTGGTGTTTTTTCTTTCTAACTTCCTTAAGTCTAAAATAGGCTCCAGCTTCATCCACCTCATTAGAACTGATGCAAATGCATTCTTTGTAATAGCTGAGTAATATTCCACTGTGCATATGAAGCATGGATGCTTATCTATTCGTCTGCCCATGGACATCTAGGTTGCTTCCATGTCCTGGCTAGTATAAACAGTACTGTGATGATTACTGGGGTACACGCGTCTCTTTCAATTCTGGTTTCCTTAGTGTGTATGCCCAGCAGCGGGATTCCAGGGTGGTAGGGAAGTTCCATTTCCAATTTCTGAGGAATCTCCACACTGTTCCTCTCCAGCACTTATTCTTTGTAGACTTTTTGATAGGAGCCGTTCTGACCAACGTGAGATGGTCCTTCATCGTGGATTTGATTTGCATTTCTTTGATAATGAGTGATGTTGAGCATCTTTTCATGTGTTTGTTAGCCATCTGGATGTCTTCTTTGGAGAACTGTCTGTTTAGTCCTTTGGCCCGTTTTTTAATGGATCATTTATTTTTTCTGAAATTGAGCTTCAGGGGCTGCTTGCATATTTTTGAGATTAATTCATTGTCCATTGCTTCATTTGCTATGATTTTCTCCCATTCTGAAGCCTGTCTTTTCATCTTGCTTATACTTTCTTTGTTGTGCAAAAGCTTTTACGTTAAATTAGGTCGTATTCATTTATTTTTGGCTTTTATTTCCATTCCTCTGGGAGGTGGGTCCTTGAGGACCCTGCTGCGATTTATGTCAAAGAGTGTTTTGCCTATGTTTTCCTCTAGGTGTTTTATAGTTTCTGGTCTTACATTTAGATCTTTAATGCGTTTTGAGTTTATTCTTGTACATGGGGTTAGAAAGTATTCTAGTCTCATTCTTTCCAAGTAGCTGACCAGTTTTCCCAGTACCACTTGTTAAAGAGATTGTCTTTTCTCCATTGTATAGTCTTGCCTCCTTCGTCAAAGACAAGGTGTCCATAGGTGGGTGGATTTGTCTCTGGGCTTTCCATTTTGTTCCTGACCTGTATTTCTGTCTTTCTGCTGGTTCCATATTGTCTTGATGACTGTAACTTTGTCTTACAGCCTGAAGTCAGGCAGCTTGGTTCCTCCAATTCCATGCTTCTTTCACAACATTGCTTTGGCTATCCAAAGTTTTTGGAATTTCCATGCAAATTATGTAATTATTTGTTCTCCTTCTGTGATCTCTATAGAACTTTCAGAATTTGTCCTCAGTCATGATGGAGCAAGTCAAAGGATGAAATATTTTCCCTTCTTACTGGTCCTCAATTCTATTTGTCATTAAAAGACTATTCATTTCCGACGAGCTAGCATGGCTCAAATGGAAGACAGATTTCTAGTTTGTGATATATAATGTAGATATGAACATTTTCTTCTGAAGACATCAATTTATTTATAATTATACTGATACAAATACTGATGAACAATTTAGTTTTCTATGTAGATCAATACTAAGAATGATATGGATCCTTTCCGTAATCTCATCCCCAACTTTCTAAACACTGCATTTCTCTACACTATTCATGAATGTCTGCTCCAACCTGCAATTACACCAACATTGTCAGTATATTTCTTGATTTCTGATTGAACATTTCTCCAAAGCTCTTAATTTAATATGTGATAATACTTTCCTATTTATAGAAGCTCCATACCTAAATATTAATTTTTTTAAAAAAGCTTTAGATTAATAAAATGCTTTCATTTATCTGTACAACCATACCAGTACTTGATAGAATTTTGTATGGCTGTCTTACCAAGATACCCTGTCTATTCCATATATCAATTCTCGACTTCCCTGCATTTCTTTATTAACATTATTTTTCAGAGCTAGTGTCCTTCTCAAAGAGCAAAACAAGTAGAATCTTTTCTGTAGATGTATCCTCTATATAGGATGTAGCCTATGTATACTATCCTGACTTACACAGAGAAACTTATACATGTATATATTGGCATATATATGGAAAAGCAAACGTACATAGAAAAAGTAAAAATAGCTTATAGTTCTAGAAGAAAGCCATGCAGAAACTAATGTTCCTCAAATTTAGGCTAAATCCATTGTGTCAGAATGCATAAACATAAAATATTAAAAATTTGACATGTGCAAAGCTCCCACAAATATAATTGCATGGAAACTAACTGGGAATGAAAAACACTTATTGAAAAATCTAAAAGACATCAGGTGAAAAGAGACACTCAATAGAAAATGATCAAGATAATTGAAAGTCTTGAACAAAAACTTGGCCAACGAAGTCACAGCAATGGCAAAGAAGCACAGGCAAAGATGCTGAGCATATTGGCTATGAGGGAAATGCACAAGGAAACTATCAAGAGTTCTAACTGCTCTCTATCTGTCAAAGTGGCTACACATTGTTAAAACATGACCACACAATAAGGTGGCAAGGATGCAGAGAAACTGGATTATTCATACATTTCTTGTGAGAGTATAAAATGGTACAGCTCTCCTGAAAAACAATTTGACACTTTATTATACAACATGCTATAAACATGCAAGTATCATTTGACCCAGAAATTCTATTCCTGCATATTGATTTTAGAGAAATGAACATAAAAGCTTTTACATGAATTTTCACTGAAACTTTGCTTGTAATAGCTAAAAATGTAGAGAGGCTAGAGGTCCTTCAATGAGTGAATGGTTCAACTGTGGTTTAACCATAGTTACACAACCATACCACCATACCTGTAACACAGTTAACCATACCAGTAATATTTCTCATCAAAAAATGGAAGAAAATATTAATACACGTAACAACTTGCATGAATCTCAAGTGCATGCCAAAGTAAAACAGAGGCCAATCTTAAAACGACATGTACTGTATGATTCCACGTACATATTATTCTCAAAATGACAAAATTAGAGACATGGAAAAGAAATCAGTAGTCATAAGGGATTATGGACAAAGAATATAACACTGTGGTATTAGGGAATTCCTTGAAGGTTACAGAATAGTTTTCTCTCTTCAGCTGGTTATGCAAATACACATATATTTTACATACACACAAACACCCACACATACACATCAATATTCATACAAAATATATTATAACCATAATACATAAGAGCTCTGAAACTCACTAATAGGAGAACAAATAATCCAATTCAATGTGGGAAAATATTTGAATAGCAATTGCTTGACATAGATAGGACATACGTTGTACAGGTGACTCATAAACACCTAAAATTAACTAAAATAATAGGTAATTAGTACTGAATGCATATTAAGTATGCCAATTGTATCTTGGATAAAAGAAATAAAATAACTGAGAACATAAACAACTCTCAGGAAAAGAGAGAAACTGAAACTCTCCTCAATGACTCATCAGAATGAAAAATGATAAAGACATTTTGGGAAATGTTTTCATTGCTCATAAATATCTGCACACAGGAAAACTGTGTAATCCCATTCCGAAAATAACTGCTGCGTAAAACATGAATTTCTCTTCACATAAAATGCTTCATGCCAATGTTTACTGTGGCCCAATTAATAATAGCCCCAAACTGGCAAGAACTCAAATGTTATTCAAATGGTAAACCAACATACAAATGGTGCATCCATCCGAGAGAGTACTATTCAACAAGAAAATGGAACATGTTATTGATGATTGTAAGAACTTGAAAGTTTTTCAACTTAACATAAAGAACCAGATTAGAAAAACTACTTCCAGTATGAGTTAAATAGCACATGGAAAAATGCTGAACATCACTAATAATTAGAGAAAGAGAAATGAAAATCACTGGGAGATATCACCTCACAGCTGTCAGAATGGCTATCATCAAGCCAAAAATCTGAAAATAACATATGGTGGCAAGGATATGGACTCAAGGAAACCCTTGTACATAACTGGTGGGAATGTAAATTTGTGCACTCACCGTGGAAAAAAATGTGGAAGTTTCTTAAAAACACTAAAAATAGATCTCCCATGTGGCCCAGCTATAGTATTTATATAGCTATAAATACTGGTAGTTACATGTTTGTTGAGGTGGAAACATTCTATCAGCATATGGTATAGAAAAGGAAGGTTACAATATAGCATAAAGATTGATTTAATTTGTATAAATTAAAAAAAAATCACTGATGTACATAGGCTCATCTAAATATATGTGTATTATATATATATATTTCACAGTATAAAACACATATAATATATGTTATAAAGGTTTAGGTAGAACAACAAAGGCAGAATATGCAGAGTATATATGTCTATTGACACACTTATGGGTGTCCTCTAATTTCATTTTTGTACTCCGTTTTGAAATTTCCATACTGGTTTGCCTCGAGTGTATATTTACAATTAGGAAATATTAATAATGCTCTTTTAAAGCAGGGTAACCCAGACATTAACTTAGCATATGCCCAAGTGTCGCTTCAAGTTCCTCCCTCGTCCTCCAAAGCCATGTTTCTTCACAATTTCCCCATCATAACTTAGATTCCAGTCATATGCAAGGCATGAATAGCCAGGTCTCTTGGGTCTCGGTGCCTTGGCATGTTCTCCCTCACTGTCTGAGAAACATTTTCACAGCTTTCCACTTGATCTATCTACTTTAGCTGGCTCAGGATTCATCTCGGGTGTCTTTACTGAAAAGTACTCCTCTCCCACCTCCTTGCCATCAGACTATAACAAATGCCTCTCCTTTTACCACCACAGCCCAGTGTGGTTTGTGTCCGGTGAATCAATTCATCATGTAAATGGAAAGATAAGTTTACCATTACATTCCTCCTTTTCCTGCCCTGTTCTCTCTCATCAGCAGCTCATCACTTTTAAGTCTCATCCTCACTCACCTGGTCCCACTTGCACCAGCCTCCTTCTTTTCTTGGAAGGACATAGACAATGCCTTTTGGGGGCTTTTCTCTGGCCTTTTCCTCTCCCCAGTCTTTATTGCCCAAGATAGCCACAAAGTCACTCCCTCTTTTCTTTAATTAAGTCTTTGCTTAAATGTCCTGCATTCATAAGGCCTTCCATCATTATCCTCTGGGAAGGAAAGCCTCCCCGTTTCTCATAACTCATAAGGTTCTCGCTATACTGTATCATTGACTATTTGTGGTTAGTATGAACCTTCCACCCTCACTGACCAGAATGTAAGCCCCATGAAACCAGGGTCCTGAGTGTTGGCTCCTGATGTGTGCCTTGCACTCACTACGATGCCTGAAATAACACAGGGAGTTAATTAGTACCTGTGAAGGGGGAAATAAGCATAACACCAAAGAATTTATGTCCATTTTTGCAATTAAATAAAACAAATCCAGACTAATGTAAGAAGGAGCTTTATTTGAAATGACTATGGGGATAGGGTCATCTCACACACTACCTAAAATACGCAGAGCATTCTTCAAGCTAGGCTTCAACAATACATGGACCAAGAATTTCCAGATGTTCAAGCTTGACTATTAAAAGGCAGAGGAACAAGAGATCAAATGGACAGCATCTGTTGGATCATAGAAATAGCAAGACAATTCCAGAAAAGCATCTGCTTCACTGACTAGGCTCAAGCATTGTCTTGTGTGGATCAGAACAAATTGTGGGAAATCCTTCAAGAGATGGGAATACCAGGCCCTCTTACCTGCCTCCTGAGAACTCTGAATGAAGGGAAAGCAGCGTGAGTTAGAACCGGACATGAAACATCAGACTGGTTCCATATTGGGAAAGGGGTATGTTAAGGCTGTATGTTGTCATCCTGCTTATTTAACTTATTTGCAGAGTACATCTTGAGAAATGCAATACTGGATGAAGCACAAGCTGGAAGACTGCGGGAGAAATATCAATCACCTCAGATATGCAGGCGACACCACCCTGAAGGCAGACAGCAAAGAGGAGCAAAAGAGCGCTACAGCATATAATCCCCAGCTATTCCCTGGACCCTCCAGCTCACCCAATGGCCCAAGTCGGCATGAGCTCCAGGGCCTCCGGAAGAAGGCCTGACTCTGCCTCTTGCTTCAGTCTCCCCCTGAGTGCCACCACACCACCCTTGTCTTAATTGCTTCCCCAAAGATCCCTAACTGACAGTAAACTGCGGGCATTGCCCACTGCAGTGCTGCCCAATAGCTAAGCAGTACAGCTAACAGTCACTCATTTACAATTGTTTGCTTGTGGATGAGTCCCTATGAGGCACCAAGCAATGGTTGAGCAACACCTGTTGCCTAGGAACAGGGTGGGTTCAAATGGAGCACACCAAAGGCTCCCTCTTCAGGGCTGTGCTCATCCTGTTCTGTTACACTGTAAATAGAAAAAGAATCACGGTGAAGTTAAGGTTTCTCAAAGTAGTTTTCAACGTGGGCTGGCCTGCACATTCTAGTTGGTTTTGAACTATGTATACTATATGCTGATCATGTGCTCAAGTGGCATCTGTTGGAGGGGCATAGAGATAAGCGCTGGTGACAGGAATGCCTGGGAAGAGAACGGAAAGAATGATGGGCAAAAGTTAAATAAGCATGTGCAATAAAAATCAGAGGTTGGAAAGGAGTCAGTCAAAAAGATGCCAGCACACTGGACCCAAAGTGTTCTTATGTAACAGAGCAACATGGGCAGAGCCCTGCCCAGGTAGCCATTGCTGTGCCTTATTACTCCGCCTCCTGTTACTAGGCAACAGGACTTGCTCAGCCATTGGTCAGTGCCTCACTGGCCCCACCCACAAGCAACCAACTATCAATGAGCTACCTACAGGTACTTGCCCTGCCCAGCTATTGGTCAGCACTGCAATGGGCCCTACCTACTGAGAACGGTCAAGGAGGGGTGACTGGGGAATTGATTCGTTCAAGAGTCAGCGATGCAGTGGTGAACTGATTCTTGACTTTGAGCAACTTCCTTTTGTAAAAAGCAAAAGTCAGGAATTTTTTTCTCCTAGATGGGGCAAGTTGAGTTTCCCTACTCAATATGGGAGTTGAAGTGTCCCCAAAAAATTTAGTGGAGGAGACATTTAAAACTGTCTTTGCTCTGATGTGTACTCTTATGGTGACTGTATATTGAAATTTGGGCAACAGACTGAGGATTCACCAAGTCTGGGGGTCGCTGAAGCTCACAACAGTAGATAAAACTTCCAACCTGCTCTTCATTACCTTTGTATACTTTCATTGCTTTCTCTTAAGTTCCTTAAGCCGCTCAGGAGTCCCTAAGAGGCAGAAGGTGATCTAGAGATGAAGTGCTTAGAAGACTCTTAAGGGATGAGGTGGGACAGAAAAGGTTTGGCAGATGTTCCTAGAGGGATGAAAGAGGCATGAGGGTTGAAGTGGCACATATAAGTCAAAGGATAAAGGGAAGACAAAGGAAGTTTGAAGGTCATGAGGAGAAGCACCAGGCCCCTGAATCACCACTCCCCAGAATCATGCACACAGACATGTCAGCAGTGGGAAAGTTATATCACGGTCTCCCTCAGCATCCACTAGCCCATGTTGATGGTCACAGTGGTGCATTGTGATGTCTAAGACCCACAAGCTACTATTGGCTGGGGCAGTGCTTAACAGAACAATCAGATTGAAGGGTGTGGCTCTTCATTGTCCTCAAAGTGTATAAATAGGGAGGTCAGACGCTGAAAGTCTGGGTTAGGCCACTTCTTGGCACCATCATGACTAAGGCAACCAGGAAGCCACGGCCGTCAAGAAGAGTTGCAATGCGGTTTGCTTCAAGGAAGAATGGAATGAAGAAGACCCTTTGTCAATAGAGGGGCAGACGTGGTGTGAAGGTAAGAGGACTCCAACTAAGCTTCCCATGTTCTGCATTGACTTTGCTGCCCAAGACCTCTACCCTGCCCATGCCTGGCACAAATGTCCCCATTAGATCACATTTCTTTCTGATGAAATCTCCCTTCCACCTCAGCTTTTATGTCCTTTCCTCCAAACTGATACCCTTGTCTTGTCTGCCAGGCACGAAATATGACCATGAGGGTCAGAAGACCTCTACAAGGGACCTTCAGAAAGAAAATCCGATCGTATGCCACTCAATCGACGAAGCCAAACAAAACAAGAATTGCAAACCGTTTCTTCTCTGGCTGTGGACGTTAAAAATCAAATTGAAGCCGAAAAAGGTACAAAAATATTAGGCAAAGTCATGGAAGGAGGCAGAATCCAAAGAGAAAATAAGCTCAGCTGCCCCAAAATAAGACACCCTGGAGAAGTACAACTTTGGCAGCCAGTTAATGAATAGCAAAAGTCAGACAGTTTAGAATTGTGTCTCCAAGGGTCTGCTTTGTTAGCAATGGCCAACCAAAAAAGACTCTCACACTAACATAGTAAGCTGAGGGCTGCAAATAAAAGAAATCTCAAATGGTGAAAAGATGATATTTGTGTGTGTGTGAATATTCTGAAGGAAAGGATGGAAAGAAGAGAAGAGGTGGGCACTGGAAACGGGAGAGATATGCGGTCCTGAGAAGTTGGGGAACAGACCCTCGGGTCCCCAGTTAGCCAGAGAGTAGAGGTGTGGAGTGGGTTAGGAGTCTGCACTGATGATGGATAAATAAAGGCTTTTGTGAGTCCAACTTCTAGAAGTCTATCATGGTTTAAAAGAAAGAGAATGCAATATCAAATTTGGTGTTAACGTTCAGGTTGAAATATTTTAAAAATTTCAAGGAGAATTTAAACAAATATGGAGATATATAAGGCAGAGGTTCTGATGTTGAGAATCCTGTGTGTCTTCAGAAAACTATTTAGAAGCAACCAGAACACAGAGTTTCACTATCAGCATCCAAAGACTTGTGTTCAAATTGGACCTCAATGATATGTCATTTTTGATCTGGACTGCAGCTGCCTGATTCACATTTTCTGGCACTCTAATGCTTGGGTGACTCCACTGATGATTCAAAGTCAGTCACTGAATGTGATTTAAAATGTATGAGGGAAAGACCCCTGGGTGTGCTGCCTGTTTCTCTTTTATATAAGTTCTTTCAATTTAATTGATTTATTTCATTTGGAGGCTAAATACTTTACAATATTATAGTGGTTTTGCCATATATTGTCATGAACTAGCCATGGATGTACATGTGTTCCCCATCCTGAACCCCCTTCCCGCCTCCCTCCCCATCCCATCCCTCAGGATCCTCCCACCGCAAAAGCCCAGATCACCCTGCCTCATGCATCCGAGCTCTACTGGAAATCTGTTTCACATACATGTTTCAATGCTATTTGCTCAAATCATCCCACTCTCACCTTCTCTCACAGAGTCCAAGAGTCTGTTTTTACCTTTGTGTCTCTCTTGCTGTCCCACATATAGGGTCATTGTTCCCATTTTTCTAAATTCCATTTATATGCATTAATATACTGGATTGGTGTTTTTCTTTCTAACTTCCTTAAGTCTAAAATAGGCTCCAGCTTCATCCACCTCATTATAACTGATTCAAATGCATTCTTTTTAATAGCTGAGTAATATTCCACTGTGCATATGAAGCATGGCTTCTTATCCATTCGTCTGCCCATGGACATCTAGGTTGCTTCCATGTGTTCGCTAGTATAAACAGTACTGTGATGAATATTGGGGTACTCGCGTCTCTTTCAATTCTGGTTTCCTTAGTGTGTATGCCCAGCAGCGGGATTCCTGGGTGGTAGGGAAGTTCCATTTCCAATTTCTGAGGAATCTCCACACTGTTCCTCTCCAGCACTTATTCTTTGTAGACTTTTTGATAGGAGCCGTTCTGACCAACGTGAGATGGTCCTTCATCGTGGATTTGATTGGCATTTCTTTGATCATGAGTGATGTTGAGCATCTTTTCATTTGTTTGTTAGCCATGAGGATGTCTTCTTTGGAGAACTGTCTGTTTAGTTATTTGGCCCGTTTTTTGTTTTTTTTTTTTTACTTTTTACTTTTTTTTATTTTTTATTTACTTATTTATTTTTTTATCACAGCCATACTGTATCTTTTTTTTTTAATCACAAACATAGTGTATCTTTTTTTTTTTTTTTTTTCATGTATTCCCCATCCCGGTCACCCCTCCCACCTCCCTCTCCACCCAATCCCTCTGGGTCTTCCCAGTGCACCAGGCCCGAGCACTTGTCTAATGCACCCAACCTGGGCTGGTGAACTGTTTCACCCTAGATAATATACGTGTTTCAATGCTGTTCTCTTGAAACATCCCATCCTCACCTTCTCCCAGAGTCCACAAGTCTGTTCTATACATAGGAGTCACTTTTTCTATTTTGCACATAGGGTTATCGTTACCATCTTTCTAAATTCCATATATATGTGTTAGTATACTGCAATGGTTTTTATCTTTCTGGCTTACTTCGCTCTGTATAATGGGGTCCAGTTTCATCCATCTCATTAGAACTGATTCAAATGAATTCTTTTTAATGGCTGAGTAATATTCCATGGTGTATATGTACCACAGCTTCCTCATCCATTCGTCTGTGGCCCGTTTTTTGAATGGATCATTTATTTTTCTGGAATTGAGCTTCAGGGGCTGCTTGCATATTTTTGAGATTAATTCATTGTCCATTGCTTCATTTGCTATGATTTTCTCCCATTCTGAAGCCTGTCTTTTCATCTTGCTTATACTTTCTTTGTTGTGCAAAAGCTTTTAAGTTAAATTAGGTCCTATTCATTTATTTTTTGCTTTTATTTCCATTCCTCTGGGAGGTGGGTCCTTGAGGACCCTGCTGCGATTTATGTCAAAGAGTGTTTTGCTTATGTTTTCCTCTAAGAGTTTTATAGTTTCTGGTCTTACATTTAGATCTTTAATGCGTTTTGAGTTTATTCTTGTACATGGGGTTAGAAAGTCTTCTAGTCTCATTCTTTCCAAGTAGCTGACCAGTTTTCCCAGTACCACTTGTTAAAGAGATTGTCTTTTCTCCATTGTATACTCTTGCCTCCTCCGTCAAAGACAAGGTGTCCATAGGTGGGTGGATTTATCTCTGGGCTTTCCATTTTGTTCCTGACCTGTATTTCTGTCTTTCTGCTGGTTCCATATTGTCTTGATGACTGTAATTTGTAGTATAGCCTGAAGTCAGGCAGCTTGGTTCCTCGAATTCCATGCTTCTTTCACAACATTGCTTTGGCTATACAAAGATTTTGAATTTCCATGCAAATTATGTAATTATTTGTTCTCCTTCTGTGATCTCTATAGAACTTTCAGAATCTGTCCTCAGTCATGATGGAGCAAGTCAAAGGATGAAATATTTTCCCTTCTTACTGGTCCTCAATTCTATTTGACGTTAAAAGACTATTCATTTCCGACGAGCTAGCATGGCTCAAATGGAAGACAGATTTCTAGTTTGTGATATATAATGTAGACATGAACTTTTTCTTCTGAAGACATCAATTTATTTATAATTACACTGATACAAATACTGATGAACAATTTAGTTTTCTATATAGATCAATACTAATAATGATATGGATCCTTTCCGAAATCTCATCCCCAACCTTCTAAACACTGCAGTTCTATACATTATTCATGAATGTCTGCTCCAACCTGCAATTATACCAACATTGTCAGTATATTTCATGATTTTCTGATTGAACATTTCCCCAAAGCTCTTAATTTAATATGTGATAATACTTTCCTATTTATAGAAGCTCCATACCTAAACATTAATTTTTTAAAAAAAAAGGTTTAGATTAATAAAGTGCTTACATTCAGCTGTACAACCATACCAGTACTTGATAGACTTTTGAATGGCTGTCTTACCAAGAAACTCTGTCTATTCCATAAATCAATACTCGACTTCCCTGCATTTCTTTATTAACATTATTTTTCAGAGCTAGGGTTCTTCTCAAAGAGCAAAACAAGTAGAATCTTTTCTATTGATGTATCCTATATATAGGATGTGGCCTTTGTATACTATCCTGACTTACACAGAGAAACTTATACATGTATATATTGGCATATATATGGAAAAGCAAACGTAAATAGAAAAAGTAAAAATAGCTTATAGTTCTAGAAGAAAGAAATGCAGAAACTAATGTTCCTCAAATTTAGGCTAAATCCATTGTGTCAGAATGCATAAACATAAAATATTAATAATTTGACATGTGCAAAACTCCAACAAATATAATTGCATGGAAACTCACTGGGAATGAAAAACACTTATTGAAAAATCTCAAAGTCATCAGGTGAAAAGAGACACTCAATAGAAAATGATCAAGATCATTGAAAGACTTGAACAAAAACTTGGCCAAGGAAGTCACAGCAATGGCCAAGAAGCACAGGCAAAGATGCTGAGCATATTGGCTATGACGGAAATGCACAGGGAAACTATCAAGAGTTCTAACTGCTCTCTATCTGTCAAAGTGGCTACACCTTGTTAAAACATGACCACACAATAAGGTGGCAAGGATGCAGAGAAACTGGATTATTCATACATTTCTTGTGAGAGTATAAAATGGCACAGCTCTCCTGAAAAACAATTTGACACTTTCTTATACAACATGCTATAAACATGCAAGTATCATTTGACCCAGAAATTCTATTCCTGCATATTGATTTTAGAGAAATGAACATAAGAGCTTTTACATGAATTTTCATTGAAACTTTGCTTGTCATAGCTAAAAAATTTAGAGAGGCTAGAGGTTCTTCAATGAGTGAATGGTTCAACTGTGGTTTTAACCATAGTTACATAACCATACCACCATACCTGTAACACAGTTAACCATACCAGTAATATTTATCATCAAAAATGGAAGAAAATATTAATACATGTAACAACTTGGATGAATCTCAAGTGCATGCCAAAGTAAAACGGAGGCCAATCTTAAAACGACATGTACTTTATGATTCCACATACATATTATTCTCAAAATGAAAAAATTAGAGACACGGAAAAGAAATCAGTAGTCATAAGGGATTATGGACAAAGAATATAACACTGTGGTATTAGGGAATTCCTTCAAGGTTACAGAATAGTTTTCTCTCTTCAGCTGGTTATGCAAATACAGATATATTTTACATACACACAAACACCCACACATACACATCAATATTCATACAAAATATATTATAACCATAATACATAAGAGCTCTGAAACTCACTAGTAAGAGAACAAATAATCCAATTAAATGTGGGAAAATATTTGAATAGCAATTGCTTGACATAGATAGGACATAAGTTGTACAGGTGACTCATAAACACCTAAAATTAAATAAAATAATTAGTAATTAGTACCGAATGCATATTAAGTATGCAAACTGTATCTTGGATAAAAGAAATAAAATAACTGAGAACATAAACAACTCTCAGGAAAAGAGAGAAACTGAAACTCTCCTCAATGACTCATCAGAAGGCAAAATGATAAAGACATTTTGGGAAATGTTTTTCATTGCTCATAAATATCTGCACACTGGAAAACTTTGTAATCCCATTCCGAAAATAACTCCCGCGTAAAACATGAATTTCTCTTCACATAAAACGCTTCATGCCAATGTTTACTGTGGCTCTATTAATAATAGCCCCAAACTGGCAAGAACTCAAATGTTATTCAAATGGTAAACCAATATACAAATGGTGCATCCATCCGAGAGAATACTATTCAACAAGAAAATGGAACATGTTATTGATGATTGCAAGAACTTGAAAGTTTTTCAACTTAAAGAACCAGACTAGAAAGAGTACTTCCAGCATGAGTTAATAGGCACATGGAAAAATGCTGAACATCACGAATAATTAGAGAAAGAGAAGTGAAAATCACTGGGAGATATCACCTCACAGCTGTCAGAATGGCTATCATCAAGCCAAAAATCTGAAAATAACATATGGTGGCAAGGATATGGACTCAAGGAAACCCTTGTACATAACTGGTGGGAATGTAAATATGTGCACTCACCGTGGAAAACAATGTGGGAGTTTCTTAAAAACACTAAAAATAGATCTCCCATGTGGCCCAGCTATTCCACACCAAGCTCAACATCAGAAGAAAATGAACACTAATTTGAAGAGATACATGTACCCCAAAGTTTATTACATCCTTCCTTACAATAGAAGAGATATGGAAGCAACCAGGGAGCAAGATGCACATGGTTCCTGTCTTCATAGCACTTGCATGGAGTATGGGATAAGCAAGCATTTGAACACCACAGTAATCCTCAGAAATACTGGTAGTTACATGTTTGTTGAGGTGGAAACATTCTCCCAGCATATGGTATAGAAAAGGAAGGTTACAATATAGCATAAAGATTGATTCAATGTGTATAAATTTAAAAAAAAACACTGATGTACATAGGCTCATCTAAATATATGTGTATTATATGTATATATTTCACAGTATATAACACATATAATATATATGTTATAAAGGTTTAGGTAGAACAACAAAGGCAGAATATGAACAGTATATATGTCTATTGACACACTTATGGGTGTCCTCTAATTTCATTTTTGTACTCCGTTTTGCAATTTCCATACTGGTTTGCCTCGAGTGTATATTTCCAATTAGAAAATATGAATAATACTCTTTCAAAGCAGGGTAACCCAGACATTAACTTAACATATGCCCAAGTGTCGCTTCAAGTTCCTCCCTCTTCCTCCAAAGCCATGTTTCTTCACAATTTCCCATCATACCTTAGATTCCAGTCATATGCAAGGCATGTATAGCCAGGTCTCTTGGGTCTCGGTGCCTTGGCAAGTTCTCCCTCACTGTCTGGAAACATTTTCACAGCTTTCCACTTGATCTATCTACTTTAGCTGGCTCAGGATTCATCTCGGGTGTCTTTACTGAAAACTACTCCTCTCCCACCTCCTTGCCATCAGACTATGACAAATGCCTCTCCCTTTTACCACCACAGCCCAGTGTGGTTTGTGTCTGGTGAATCAATTCATCATGTAAATGGAAAGATAAGTTTACCATTACATTCCTCCTTTTCCTGCCCTGATCTCTCTCATCAGCAGCTCATCACTTTTGAGTCTCATCCTCACTCACCTAGTCCCACTTGCACCAGCCTCCTTGTTTTCTTGGAAGAACATAGATAATGCCTTTTGGGGGCTTTTGCCCTGGCCTTTTCCTTTCCCCAGTCTTTATTGCCCAAGAGAGCCACAAAGTCACTCCCTCTTTTCTTTAATTAAGTCTTTGCTTAAATGTCCTGCATTCATAAGGCCTTCCATCATTATCCTCTGGGAAGGAAAGACTCCCCGTTTCTCATAACTCATACGGTTCTCGCTATTCTGTATAATTGACTATTTGTGGTTAGTATGAACCTTCCATCCTCACTGACCAGAATGTATGCCCCATGAAACCAGGGTCCTGGTTGTTGGCTCCTGATGTGCGCCTTGCACTCACAACGATGCCTGAAATAACACAGGGAGTTAATTAGTACCTGTGAAGGGGGAAATAAGCATAACACCAAAGAATTGATGCCATTTTTGCAATTAAATAAAACAAATCCATACTAATGTAAGAAGGAGCTTGATTTGAAATGACTATGAGGATAGGGTCATCTCACACACTACCTAAAATATGCTGAGCATTCTTCAAGCTAGGCTTCAACAATAAATGAACCAAGAATTTCCAGATGTTCAAGCTTGACTATGAAAAGGCAGAGGAACATGAGATCAAATGGACAGCATCTGTTGGATCATAGAAAAAGCAAGACAATTCCAGAAAAGCATCTGCTTCCCTGACTAGGCTCAAGCATTGTCTTGTGTGGATCAGAACAAATTGTGGGAAATCCTTCAAGAGATGGGAATACCAGGCCCTCTTACCTGCCTCCTGAGAACTCTGAATGCAGCGAAAGCAGCATGAGTTAGAACCGGACATGAAACATCTGACTGGTTCCAAATTGGGAAAGAGATATGTTAAGGCTGTATGTTGTCATCCTGCTTATTTAACTTCTATGCAGAGTACATCATGAGAAATGCAAGACTGGATGAAGCACAAGCTGGAAGATTGCCGGGAGAAGTATCAATCACCTCAGATATGCAGGCGACACCACCCTGAAGGCAGACAGCAAAGAGGAACAAAAGAGCGCTACAGCATGTAGTCCCCAGGCTATTCCCTGGACCCTCCAGCTCACCCACTGGCCCAAGTCGGCATGAGCTCCAGGGCCTCCGGAAGAAGGCATGACTCTGCCTATTGCCTCAGTCTCCCCCTGAGTGCCACCACACCACCCTTGACTTAATTGCTTCCCCAAAGGTCCCTCACTGACAGTAACCTGCGGGCATTGCCCACTGCAGTGCTGCCCAATCGCTGAGCAGGAGAGCAAACAGTCACTCATTTACAATTGTTTGCTTGTGGATGGGGCCCTCTGAGGCACCAAGCAATGGTTGAGCAACACCTGTTGCCTAGGAACAGGGTGGGTTGAAATGGAGCACACCAAAGGCTACCTCTTCAGGGCTGTGCTCATCCTGCTCTGTTACACTGTAAATAGAAAAGGAATCACTGTGAAGTTAAGGTTTCTCAAAGTAGTTTTCAACGTGGGCTGGCCGGCACGTTCTTGTTGGTTTTGAACTATGTATACTATATGCGGAACATGTGATCAAGTGGCAGCTGTTGGAGGGGCATAGAGATAAGCGCTGGTGACAGGAATGCCTGATAAGAGAACGGAAAGAATGATGGGCAAAAGTTAAATAAGCATGTGAAATAAAAATCTGAGGTTGGAAAGGAGTCAGTCAAAAAGATGCCAGCACACTGGACCCAAAGTGTTCTTATGTAACAGAGCAACATGGGCAGAGCCCTGCCCAGGTATCCATTGCTGTGCCTTATTACTCCGCCTCCTGTTACTAGGCAACAGGACTTGCTCAGCCTTTTGTCAGTGCCTCACTGACCCCACCCACAAGCAACCACATATCAATGAGCTACCTACAGGTACTTGCCCTGCCCAGCTATTGGTCAGCACTGCAATGGGCCGTACCTACTGATAACGGTCAAGGAGGGGTGACTGGGGAATTGATTCGGTCAAGAGTCAGCGATGCAGTGGTGAACTGATTCTTGACTTTGAGCACCTTCCTCTTGTTCAAAGCAAAAGTCAGGAATTTTTTTCTGCTAAATGGGGCAAGTTGAGTTTCCCTACTCAATATGAGAGTTGAAGTGTCCCCAAAACATTTAGTGGAGGAGACATTTAAAACTGTCTTTGCTCTGATGTGTACTCTTATGGAGACTGTATATTGACCTTTGGGCAACAGACTGAGGATTCACCAAGTCTGGGGGTCGCTGAAGCTCACAACAGTAGATAAAACATCCAACCTGCTCTTCATTACCTTTGTCCACTTTAAGTGCTTTCTCTTAAGTTCCTTAAGCCCCTCAGGAATCCCCAAGAGGCAGAAGGTGATCTAGAGATGAAGTGCTTAGAGGACTCTGAAGGGATGAATTGGGACAGAAAATGTTTGGCAGATGTACCTAGAGGGATGAAAGAGGCATGACGGATGAAGTGGCACATATAAGTCAAAGGATAAAGGGAATGCAAAGGAAGTTTTAAGGTCATGAGGAGAAGCACCAGGCCCCTGAATCACCACTCCCCAGAATCAGGCACACAGACATGTCAGCAGTGGGAAAGATATATCACGGTATCCCTCAGCATCCACTAGCCCATGTTGATGGTCACAGTGGTGCATTGTGATGTCTAAGCCCCACAAGCTACTATTGGCTGGGGCAGTGCCTAACAGACCAATCAGATTGAAGGGTGTGGCTCTTCATTGTCCTCAAAGGGTATAAATAGGGAGGTCAGAGGCTGAAAGTCTGGGTTAGGCCACATCTTGGCACCATCATGACTAAGGAAACCAGGAAGCCACGGCCGTCAAGAAGAGGTGCAATTCGGTTTGCTTCAAGGAAGAATGGAATGAAGAAGACCCTTTGTCAAAGAGGGGCAGACGTGGTGTGAAGGTAAGAGGATTCCAACTAAGCTTCCCATGTTCTGCATTGACTTTGCTGCCCAAGACCTCTACCCTGCCCATGCCTGGCACAAATGTCCCCATTAGCTCACATTTCTTTCTCATGAAATCTCCCTTCCACCTCAGTTTTTATGGCCTTTCCTCCAAACTGATACCCTTGTCTTGTCTTCCAGGCACGAAATATGACCATGAGGGTCAGAAGACCTCCACAAGGGACCTTCAGAAAGAAAATCCGATCGTATGCCACTCAATCGACGAAGCCAAAGAAAACAAGAAAAGCAAACCGATTCTTCTCTGGCTGTGGACGTAAGAAATCAAATCAAAGCTGAAAAAGCTACCAAAATATGAGGCAACGTCATGGAAGGAGGCAGAATCCAAAGAGAAAATAAGCTCAGCCGCCCCAAAATAAGAGACCCTGGAGAAGTACAATGTTGGCAGCCAGTTAATGAATAGCAAATGTCAGACAGTTTAGAATTGTGTCTCCAGGGGTCTGCTTTGTTAGCAATGGCCAACCAAAAAAGACTCTCACACTAACATAGTAAGCTGATGGCTGCAAATAAAAGAAATCTCAAAGGGTGAAAAGATGATATTTGTGTGTGTGTGAGTTTTCTGATGGAAGGGAGAGAAAGAAGAGAAGAGGTGGGCACTGGAAACGGGAGGGGTATGTGGTCCTGAGAAGTTGGGGAACAGACCCTCGGGTCCCCAGTTAGCCAGAGAGTAGAGGTGTGGAGTGGGTTAGGAGTCTGCACTGATGATGGATAAATAAAGTCTTTTGTGAGTCCAACTTCTAGAAGTTTATCATGGTTTAAAAGAAAGAGAATGCAATATCAAATTTGGTGTTAACTTTCAGGTTGAAATGTTTTAAAAATCTCAAGGAGAATTTAAACAAATATGGAGATATATAAGGCAGAGGTTCTGATGATGAGAATCCTGGGTGTCTTCAGAAAACTATTTAGAAGCAACCAGAACACAGAGTTTCACTATCAGCATCCAAAGAGTTGTGTTCAAATTGGAACTCAATGATATGTCATCTTTGATCTGGACTGCAGCTGCCTGATTCACATTTTCTGGCACTCTAATGACTGGGTGACCCCACTGATGATTCAAAGTCAGTCACTGAATGTGATTTAAAATGTATGAGTGAAAGACCCCTGGGTGTGCTGCCTGTTTTTCTTTTTTTTAAGTTCTTTCATTTTAATTGATTTATTTCATTTGGAGGCTAAATACTTTACAATATTATAGTGGTTTTGCCATATTTTGTCATGAACTAGCCATGGATGTACATGTGTTCCCCATCCTGAACCCCCTTCTCGCCTCCCTCCCCATCCCATCCCTCAGGATCCTCCCACCGCAAAAGCCCAGAGCACCCTGCCTCATGCATCCAAGCTCTAGTGGAAATCTGTTTCACATACATGTTTCAATGCTATTTGCTCAAATCATCCCACTGTCACCTTCTCTCACTGAGTCCAAGAGTCTGTTTTTACCTTTGTATCTCTCTTGCTGTCCCACATATAGGGTCATTGTTATCATTTTTCTAAATTCCATTTATATGCATTAATATACTGGATTGGTGTTTTTCTTTCTAACTTCCTTCAGTCTAAAATAGGCCCCCACTTCATCCATCTCGTTAGAACTGATGCAAATGCATTCTTTTTAATAGCTGAGTAATATTCCACTGTGCATGTGAAGCATGGATGCTTATCCATTCGTCTGCCCATGGACATCTAGGTTGCTTCCATGTCCTGGCTAGTATAAACAGTACTGTGATGAATATTGGGGTACTCGCGTCTCTTTCAATTCTGGTTTCCTTAGTGTGTATGCCCAGCAGCGGGATTCCTGGGTTGTAGGGAAGTTCCATTTCCAATTTCTGAGGAATCTCCACACTGTTCCTCTCCAGCACTTATTCTTTGTAGACTTTTTGATAGGAGCCGTTCTGACCAACGTGAGATGGTCCTTCATCGTGGATTTGATTTGCATTTCTTTGATAATGAGTGATGTTGAGCATCTTTTCATGTGTTTGTTAGCCATCTGGATATCTTCTTTGGAGAACTGTCTGTTTAGTCCTTTGGCCCGTTTTTTAATGGATCATTTATTTTTCTGAAATTGAGCTTCAGGGGCTGCTTGCATATTTTTGAGATTAATTCATTGTCCATTGCTTCATTTGCTATGATTTTCTCCCATTCTGAAGCCTGTCTTTTCATCTTGCTTATACTTTCTTTGTTGTGCAAAAGCTTTTAAGTTAAATTAGGTCGTATTCATTTATTTTTGGCTTTTATTTCCATTCCTCTGGGAGGTGGGTCCTTGAGGACCCTGCTGCGATTTATGTCAAAGAGTGTTTTGCCTATGTTTTCCTCTAGGAGTTTTATAGTTTCTGGTCTTACATTTAGATCTTTAATGCGTTTTGAGTTTATTCTTGTACATGGGGTTAGAAAGTCTTCTAGTCTCATTCTTTCCAAGTAGCTGACCAGTTTTCCCAGCAGCACTTGTTAAAGAGATTGTCTTTTCTCCATTGTATAGTCTTGCCTCCTTCGTCAAAGACAAGGTGTTCATAGGTGGGTGGATTTATCTCTGGGCTTTCCATTTTGTTCCTGACTTGTGATTCTGTCTTTCTGCTGGTTCCATATTGTCTTGATGACTGTAATTTGTAGTATAGCCTGAAGTCAGGCAGCTTGGTTCCTCCAATTCCATGCTTCTTTCACAACATTGCTTTGGCTATCCTATGTTTTTGGAATTTCCATGCAAATTATGTAATTATTTCTTCTCATTCTGTGATCTCTGTAGAACTTTCAGAATTTGTCCTCAGTCATGATGGAGCAAGTCAAAGGATGAAATATTTTCCCTTCTTACTGGTCCTCACTTCTATTTGTCATTAAAAGACTATTCATTTCCGACGAGCTAGCATGGCTCAAATGGAAGACAGATTTCTAATTTGTGATATATAATGTAGACATGAACTTTTTCTTCTGAAGACATCAATTTATTTATAATTATACTGATACAAATACTGATGAACAATTTAGTTTTCTATGTAGATCAATACTAAGAATGATATGGATCCTTTCCTTAATCTGATCCCCAACTTTCTAAACACTGCAGTTCTATACATTATTCATGAATGTCTTCTCCAACCTGCAATTACTCCAACATTGTCAGTATATTTCAAGATTTTCTGATTGAACATTTCTCCAAAGCTCTTAATTTAATATGTGATAATACTTTCCTATTTATAGAAGCTCCACACCTAAACATTATTTTTTTTAAAAAAAGCTTTAGATTAATAAAATGCTTACATTTAGCTGTACAACCTTACCAGTACTTGATAAACTTTTGAATGGCTGTCTTACCAAGAAACCCTGTCTATTCCATAAATCAATTCTCGACTTCCCTGCATTTCTTTATTAACATTATTTTTCAGAGCTAGGGTCCTTCTCAAAGAGCAAAACAAGTAGAATCTTTTATATAGATGTATCCTCTATATAGGATGTGGCCTATGTATACTATCCTGACTTACACAGAGAAACTTGTACATGTATATATTGGCATATATATGGAAAAGCAAACGTAAATGGTGCATCCATCCGAGAGAGTACTATTCAACCAGAAAAGGGAATATGTTATTGATGATTGTAAGAACTTGAAAGTTTTTCAACTTAAAGAACCAGACTAGAAAGAGTACTTCCAGTATGAGTTAATAGGCACATGTAAAAATGCTGAACATCACGAATAATTAGAGAAAGAGAATTGAAAATCACTGGGAGATATCACATCACAGCTGTCAGAATGGCTGTCATCAAGCCAAAATCTGAAAATAGCATATGGTGGCTAGGATATGGACTCAAGGAAACCCTTGTACATAACTGATGGGAATGTAAATTTGTGGACTCACCATGGAAAACAATGTGGAAGTTTCTTAAAAATACTAAAAGTAGATCTCCCATGTGGCCCAGCTATTCCACACCTAGCTCTACATCAGAAGAAAATGAACACTAATTTGAAGAGATACATGTACCACAAAGGTTATTACATCCTTCCTTACAATAGAAGAGATAAGGAAGCAACCAGTGAGCAAGATGCACATGGTTCCTGTCTTCATAGCACTTGCATGGAGTATGGGATAAGCAAGCATTTGAACACCACAGTAATCCTCAGAAATACTGGTAGTTACATGTTTGTTGAGGTGGAAACATTCTCCCAGCATATGGTATAGAAAAGGAAGGTTACAATATAGCATAAAGATTGATTCAATTTTTATAAATTAAAAAAAAAAACACTGATGTACATAGGCTCATCTAAATATATGTGTATTATATCTATATATTTCACAGTATATAACACATATAATATATATGTTATAAAGGTTTAGGCAGAACAACAAGGGCAGAATATGATCATTATATATATCTATTGACACACTTATGCGTGTCCTCTAATTTCATTTTTGTACTCCGTTTTGCAATTTCCATACTGGTTTCCCTCGAGTGTATATTTACAATTAGAAAATATTAATAATGCTCTTTCAAAGCAGGGTAACCCAGATATTAACATATGCCCAAGTGTCGCTTCAAGTTCCTCCCTCTTCCTCCAAAGCCATGTTTCTTCACAATTTCCCCATCATACCTTAGATTCCAGTCATATGCAAGGCATGTATAGCCAGGTCTCTTGGGTCTCGGTGCCTTGGCATGTTCTCCCTCACTGTCTGGGAAACATTTTCACAGCATTCCACTTGATCTATCTACTTTAGCTGGCTCAGGATTCATCTCGGGTGTCTTTACTGAAAAGTACTCCTCTCCCACCTCCTTGCCATCAGACTATGACAAATGCCTCTCCCTTTAACCACCACAGCCCAGTGTGGTTTGTGTCCGGTCAATCAATTCATCATGTAAATGGAAAGATAAGTTTACCATTACATTCCTCCTTTTCCTGCCCTGTTCTCTCTCATCAGCAGCTCATCACTTTTTAGTCTCATCCTCACTCACCTGGTCCCACTTGCACCAGCCTCCTTGTTTTCTTGGAAGAACATAGATAATGCCTTTTGGGGGCTTTTGCCATGAACGTTTCCTCTCCCCAGTCTTTATTGCCCAAGATAGCCACAAAGTCACTCCCTCTTTTCTTTAATTAAGTCTTTCCTTAAATGTCCTGCATTCATAAGGCCTTCCATCATTATCCTCTGGGAAGGAAAGACTCCCCGTTTCTCATAACTCATAAGGTTCTCGCTATACTGTATAATTGACTATTTGTGGTTAGTATGAACCTTCCATCCTCACTGACCAGAATGTAAGCCCCATGAAACCAGGGACCTGGGTATT